ATCCATCCCAGCTGGGTGACAAAGTCTTCTGCAGAATTCTCAGATGATGCAGTCAGGGACTCTGTGCTTCCCAAGTTTTAGGCAGGATTGTTGAAGAGAAAGATGTATACAATCAGAACATTGCTGTACCACTACAGTTATATGACCCATTTCATGCTTCAAAGTCATTTATTAATATTGATCATTTTATCATAAACTCTTTAGCAAAACAGTGAGCATTTGAAAATTTCCAATTAGCTAATATATCTATGGTTACTGTTCCATACCAGATGACAACCAGCCATTACATTTGAAAATTTACTATTAGCTAATATATCTATGGGTGACTGTTCCATACCAGATGACAACCAGCCATTACTTTCTCCCGGCTGAAGGGAACCGGGGACTGCTCTGCCTTTTCTGTTCCCTTCACACAGAGTAAGGTTAAGCAAGGTGTTTCCTCTCTTCTCTCCCCAAGCTAAGAGCTTGTCTGAACTCATTGACTCGAGTGAGTGCCCGATACTCACAGGAGTAGAGGGCTGGAAGGAAAGAGCCCACTAAGATGGGAGCTTCCTGCATTCCCCTCCTCCTTGAATTGTGTTCCCTTCTCCAAGTTTGTGAGCCCCTGGCATATCTCAGCAGGTGGCTGGCATTTCTCAAGACACTCCTCTGGATCCCTCAACAATGAAAGATTGTTCCGTGTCCCTGGAAGACATGGGTGAGAGAATCCAGGGGAAGGAGGCTGAGCCTGCAGTGTCTTAACTTGGGAGACTCAGAAAGCAGCCCAGCCCTGCGTGGGCAGAGTGCAGGCGAGAGAGCCATCATGGACACTGTTACTCAAGGGAGTAACTGTTACTCAAGAAGGCAGAGCTGCAGCTGCCACTCTGTCAAGGACAGCCTTGCAAAGAACATTCTTTCTTCTTTGTTTTTCTTGAGAAGAGAAAGGGAAGAGCAAGGGAGGACACATCATCAGCCCTTCCGTTGAGAGCAATTGTAGGCACAAATTTACCTGTACTAGAACAGGAAAAGCCATGTGTTAAATAGGAGATGAAAAAATTTAAGGGGCCAGGCTGAAGTTTTAAAACCTGGAAGGAGACCTCATGAATGACTCTTTTGAAAGTAGCTACAGTAGACTGTCCTTGGGGAAGTCGATACCCAGAAAACAAAAGGGTTTCTAGAGACAGTGGTGGTGGTTACTGAGGGGGGATAAAACTGATTTATATTTATGATTCACAGGTTGACACCTCTCACCCTGATGGTAGACTTACCAGGATTCCCTAATCTGTTCCCCTTAAAGTATAAGTACTGTGAGACCAGGGCCAAGGTAATCAGCTCCATTGGCATAGCCCTTGAGTGAGTAAATGTATTTACTCTATATCTAGATTTAGAAGCAGCTAAACATTTATATGATCTAAAAGCACATAGTAAGCTATGTTCATCTTAATATTTAGTTCAGAGTGTGTTTGGGGGCTGAGTGTTGGCATTTTCCCCAAATGCATATGTTAAATCCCTAACCTTCAATGTGATGGTCTTTGAAGACAGAGCACCTGGGAGGTGACCCAGTTTGCTTTCTGCTGCTTTGGTAAATATCATAACCCAAAGCAACCTGGGGGAGGAGAGGGTTTATTTCATCTTATAACTTCCAGGTAACAGTTCATCGCTGAGGGAATTTAGGGCAGGGAATCAAGAAGTCGGGGACTGAAGCAGAGGCCACGGAAGGAGGGATGCTCTTACTGGCTTGCTCTCCATGGCTTGTTCAAACTGCTTTCCTTTACAGCCCACCCAGAGGTAGCACTGCCCATTTTAAGGTGGACCCACCTACAGCAATCATTAAACAAGAAAATGTCCCCACGGATGCGCCGACAGGTAGAGACAATTCCTCTGTGACTCTAGCTTGTATCCAGCTGTCAAAAACTGAGCTGCACAGGGGTCCAGGGCAACTGATTTAGTGGGATTGGTGGCTTGGCAAGAGGAAGAGGGGGAGCTCTCTCTCCTCCCAGGTGTCCCAGATAGGCCAGAGAAGTTCAGCACGTGCAACGAGAGAGAATCCTCACCAGGCACTAGCAGGACCAGCATTCCAGCCTTCTAAGACTTGGAGAAACAGATGTTTAAACCACACAGTAGGAGCTGTTTCATTATGGCAGATAGAATTAAGACGAAGTTGACAGGAAATGGCTGAAGGGAAAATGATGCATTCATACTTTGTTTAAGATAGGGTCTTGCTGTGGAGCCCAAACTGGCCTCAAACTCTTGATTTTCCTGCCTCTGTTTCCCTAGTGCTGGGACTTCAGGCATATGCCACCAGCTACGATTACACACTTTCTGTAAGACCCCTTTGGCAAAGTGAGCAAAAAAAAAGGAGTGGAGGCCAAGTACTTCCGGGAGGATTGGGACAGAGGGGACAGTAACTTGGCTATTAGCAAAAGCAAAACAACAACAACAAAAAAAGTGAATGGATACAAAAGATAGGAGGTAAAATGGGACTTGAAGTAGACATCAAGCAGGTTGTTCATGTGAACAGTTGCTAGCTAATGATACCACCATTTACTAATACTAAATACTAATATTTAGAAAGTACTAAAATGCCAGCAAATACTAAAAGAAAGCAATTAGGGGTTTTTTGTTTGTTTGGTTTTTGTTTGGGGTTTTTGTTTGTTTGTTTGTTTGTTTGTTCGTTTGAAAGAGAAAAGAGTTTCTTTGGGGAAAACAGAGGTGAGTCCAGATGCCTAGAAATGTCAATTCCATTTTGAGATTTCCAAATGGAGATTTAAGGGCAGGCTGGACTAGAGATAAACGTGTCACGTGCTGTTAGCATTAAGATGGTCACGGAAGCCACCAGAACAGCTACAATTATATGAGGAGAAAGTAACATTCGAAAGTGACCCATGTCAAAATGCTGAAGGACATTAGGATTTAAGGCCTGGGAGCTGGAGAGATGGCTGAGCGGTTGACTCACAACCACCCTTGACTCTAACTCCATGAGATTCAATGCACTCTTCTGACCTCTGAAGCCACCAGGCATCTGTGTAGTGCACACACGTACATACATGTAAGCAAAGCACTCATTCATATAAGATAAAACTTAAAAATCTAAAAAAGATTTTTAAAAAACAAGGAAATTTTTCACTGGGCAGTGGTATGAAATGCCTTTGATCCCAGCATGGGAGGCAGAGGCAGGCAGATCTCTGAGTTTGAGGCCAGTCTGATCTACAGAGAGAATGCCAGAAGAGCCAAGGCTATACACAGAAAAACCCTGTCTTGAAAAACCAAAAGAGAAAAAAAAAAATCAAGGATTGCCTAGAGGGACAGGAGTCAGCTAGAGACTAGAAAGAACTGATGAGAGAAAGGTAGTCACAAAGCCTAGGAAATACAATGTTTTGGTTTGTTTTTTAAAGGACGACTTTGGGCCAAAAAGCCAGGGATTTAGCTTAGCCTGTATGGCATCCTAGATTCAATCCCTAGTGCTCAAGCATGTGCGCGTTGAAATGAATGTTTCATAGCATTACAGGAATCTCAACTTACTGAATCCCTTTATAACAATTCACCAACTGGACCAAAACATCTGAAGTCTGTGGGTCATAAACTCCCTGCCCAGCAGCAGGCCAGTGGCCTGTTCTCTCTCCTTCCTCCCCCCACCCCTCTTTCTTCTTCTTCCTCCTTCTCCTTTTCTCTTTTTCTCTCACCTGGCTGGCCTCAGCCTTCCAAGTACTAGGATTAAAGGTGTGCACACTCACTATGCCTGGCTCAGGCCAGTGAGCCTTAAAGTGTGCTCTCCAGACTTCAGGCATTGCTAGAACCACCTAGGAACCTGAAAGAAATGCCAACTTGGGGGCCTCGCTCACAAAATTCAGTTTCTCAATCAAAAATGCTGCTGTGTGGTCTTGCAATCTTTATTATACACTCTCTGGCTGATTCAGAAGTTTATTAAAGATTAAAAAACTCTGTACTAGACAATGCTTAGATAGCACCCAACAGCTATTCCTGTAAGAAAAAAAAAAACCTCTTTTTTCTAAAGCCATTTTAATTTGAATCAATTACTCTATTTTTCAAAGTTATTTGAGCCCAAACAGCAGAATTTTGTCAATATCCCACATTTTAAAAAAATAACCATGGGTCCTATTTTGATTTTAATGCCCCTGCCCTATAACAAACAAACCAAAGAATTCACTACTTACCCACATTTCCCTCTGCTGGGGATACAGTTTTATCCTTACACTTTCTGCTTGTTCACAGCATCAGAGTAGACATGCACTCTGGGACCTCATAGCTCTACTGTGTGTCTTTTCCGCTTTTCATTCAACTAGCAGCAACTCAGTGACTCTTACATCTGACAGCTTAAGTTCCTGAGACACATGCATGTTGTTGGTGAGACTGCAAATCGGTACAGCTTAGGGTAATTTGGCACCATTTGCCAAAATAACAATAAAAACGGAGATTTGATCCAATAATCCCACTTCTGGGAATTTATCCTACGGATCCATCTGCCTGCACATACGAAGAAGCGGGGTCTCTGCCCTACCTCGGTCGGAAGTCAGGTCACTTTCTACCCAAATTCAGGTCGCCCTTCTCGGCCACTCGCGGCCTCCTGACCCCATCACCCACTGTCTGTCGGTTGGAGGCCCCGGTACCCCATCAATGAGAGGTTCTGTCGGGGGGCCAGGTCAGCCCACCTAAGGTGAGCCCTCTCGGTGAGCATCAAGCTGGCTAGTCACACCTCCTCACACCTGCAGCCGGGGGCGAGGCGCCAGCCCCGCACACCGCGGTCAGTTGAGAGCCGCGGTGACCCCGTCAACATCAACGTTTTTTCACGCCCGCAAACCGCACGGCCCAGCCTCTCAGTTCTCTCCCTCCCTTCCTTCCCCTGCCCCCTCCCTCTCCTCCCTCCCTTTCTTTCTCTGAGGGAAAAGGAGACCCGCGCCTCCCGGGCTCTGCCCTTGCCCGGGCGCCGCTGCCCCGCGGTGGGCGGGGCTCGGGGCGGGGCGGGGCGGGGCGGCGGGGGCGGGGCAATGGAGGGGGCGGGGCAGGCGGGCTACTAACCCCGGTGTGGGCGACGCAGTCTCTGCAGTCGCTTCAGCAGCTGGAACCCAGGTCGCAGTCGCCGGGGGCGCTGGCTGCTCGCGCGTGGCTCAGGCGGGCCCGTAGCCATGGAGGACTTCATCGTGATCTCCGACGACAGTGGTTCCGAGAGCTCGGCCGGGACCCGCTCGGGCAGGGCGCGGAGGCTGCGCCGGGCCCTGTCCCGGACCCCCGGCGCGCTGCCCCGCCGAACCGTGGTGAGTGAGCCCGCTGCCGCTCGCCACGCCCCACGGGACCCGAGCGTCGCCTCCTCGGGGCCTTGGCGCTGCGACCCTGGTTCCCCGCCGCCGCGTCTTCCCGCCTTCGGCGGCCTCGGGCCTCGAGGAGCGCTGCGGCGCCGCCGGGACGGCAGGCCTCGGGCTGGCCAGCGCAGAGCCTACAGGGCGAGCGGGCCGAGCACATGGGCGACGCACTGAGCAGCCGCGCGGGCTGCCGTGCAGTGGCCGGAGGTGGCCTCCGGCCCGGGGTGGCCCCAGAGCTTTGGCAGCGGGAGGAGGTGGGGGTCCTGGCCAGGCCGCAGCCGCCACCGGACCTCGAGGCGGGCGCGCGGGAGCGCGCAATTGTTTGGCGTGTAATGGGCACAGATGTGTGCAGGGAGGTAACAGGAGCCCCGACTGCGAGCGAGGGAAGCGCCGCCCTTGGCACGGTGGCGACTGCGCTCCAGGGCCTAGTTCCTGAGACAGGGGCCCGATTTTTGAGTTGTGGAGAAGGACGGTTTATTTTGCTTTGCAAATGCGAATCACGTACAAAGCCCGAGGGCGGGGCACTTGCACCTTTGTTTTTCCTGCGTATCCTTTAGCTTTATCCTTGCTCCTGAAGTGGTGAATAAAAATATTTGTGGTCTCTGCCTTTCTGGCACCCTCCACAGAAATCTAGTGAAGCCCTACCGTTCTCCAGATACTGTGGCTTCGGTTAGTCCAGGAGTCATTCTCTGTTCTTCCTAATATATGTCCTAAATCAAAGTCAGCTACTGCATAAGCCTGTACATCACTTTTGAAGTGTTCATTCATTCTAGGTTACCTTTGGGAAGGTGGAGGGTCTTCCTATACCCAACGATAGGTGTCTGAGTTAGGGATGCCATTGCTGTGATGAAGCCCATAACCAAAAGCAACCTGTGGAGAAAAGGGCTTATTTAGCATACACGTCGAAAGAAGACTGGACAGGAACTCAAATGGCGCAGGATCCCGGAGGCAGGAGCTGATGCAGGGGCCATGGAGGAGTGATGCATACTGCCTTGCTCCCTCTGGCTTGCTCGGCCTGCTTTCTTACAGAACCCAGGACCATCAGCCCAGGGGCGGCTCCACCCACAATGGGCAGGGCCTTCCCCCATCAATCACGAATTAAGAGATTCGTGATTGCCTACAGCCCATCTTATGGAGGCATTTTCTCAATTGAGATTCCTTTTTCTCAGACCACTCTAGCCTGTGACAAGTTGACATGAGACTAGCCTGCACAGTAGGTATTCTGTCTAAGAAAGGAACTTAATTTTATATTTTTGTTTTGTCCAGCTTGTAAATATATCTTTATTCTAATAGATCTTTTCAGTACCTTTATTATGGTATGATTCCATATAATAAAACTCATCCATACAATACCTTGGATTGATTGTACAGCCATGGCAGCTAATAAAATCATTTACTTTACCATAAGGATACCTTGTTGCTTTTCTTTAGGCCCACAACGCTGTTTGGGGAAGTGAATTTTCACCACTTTGGATTATAACTTGCCTATCTCCACTGGAAAGCTATAGCTTATTGTGTGTATTGCTATAGAAAACTCTCCCTATATGTATGCACAAATGTTTGTAAGTATCTAATTCTTTTCTAATGGGGTTGTACTGACTTTATCTTTTGAGGCTGGGTCTCCTGTAGCTCAGACTAGCCTCAGATTTGCTGGGTAGCTCACGATGACCATGACTTCTGATTTCCCCTTCATCCACCTACTGAGTGTTGAGATTGCAGGTGTGTACAGCCATACTTGGTGTATGGGGTGCTGGGGATCAAACCTAGGGCCTCATGTCTCTTAGGCAGGCATGATTCAAACTGGGATATATCCCCAGCCTTGAAATTGTAGTGACTTTTTAAACTCCCATAATAACTTTGGGCATTTAAATTAAACATCTCTACCTCATTCAGATTATAGTCTATTTTGTTGTTATTGTTATTCCCTATATATAGTATGGATTCTGGTACACAGTAATTTATCAGTTTTATGTTATTTTAACATTAAAAAATGATTCAGCTTTGCTTTTGCTATTGAAGACTATGATGGGATATTTGTAGGACAAGTTTTTTACAATGAAATATGTGCTACCAGATTTTTTTATTTTCTTGATAACTAGTTTCTTGTGGGGTTTTGTTGTTGTTGTTGTTGGGTTTTTTGTTTTTTTGTTTTTTTAATGTATCATGGAATTAACCCTCTATTGGATGTGTAGTTGGTAAAAAAAAAAAAAATCTTTTCCCATTCTGTAGGCTGCCACTTTGTCTGAATGATGGTGTTCTTTGCTGTGTAGAAGCTCCTCAGTCTCATAAGGTCCCATTTATTAATTGTTTATCTTAGTGCCTGTGCTAATGGTGTTCTGTTCAGAGTCTCCTTGTGCCAATGAGTTCAAGGCCATTCCCTTCTGTCAGGGTCAATGTGTCTGGCTTTGTATTGGGATCTTTAATCCATGTGGAGGCCAGTTTTGTGCAGGGTGGTAAGTGTGAGTCGATCTATTTGCATTCTTCCACATTGCAATCATCCAGTTAGACCAACACCGATGTCGAAGAGGCTTTTTTCCAGTGTGTGTTTCTGGTTTCCTTATCAAAAGTTAGGTGTGTGATGTATGTCTGGGTGGGTCTTCAGTTCAGTCCCATTGAGCAGTATGTGCCTGGTTTTGTGTCAGTGCTGTGTGGTTTTATTACTATTGCTCTGGACTACAACTTGAAATCAGGGATGGTGATGCCTCAGCAGTTTTTTGTTTGTTTGTTTTGTTCAGGATTGTTTTAGCTATCCTGGGTTGTTGTTTTTCCATATGAAATTGAGAATTGTCCTTTCAAGATATGTAAAGAACTGTGTTAGAATTTTCATGGGAATTGCACTGAATCTGTAAATTGCTTTTGGTAGGATGCCCAATTTTTACTATATGAATCCTGTTGATCCATGAGCATGGGAGATCTTTCCATCTGCTGAAAATCTTCTGACACCCTGTTGGAGGTGGGGACTGCTTCTCTGGCTGGAGACACATTCAGGTTCCCAGGGATTGTCTGCTGGAGTTGGGGGCTGGGATAAAGCAATGAGTGATGGGAGGAAGGTTAGGAGGGGAAGGTCAGCGTGATCCACTGGAGATGGGAGTGTGGTGGATGAGAAGCCGAAGCAGATTGTCTGCTGAAAAACAGGACAACTGGATTTGGAGGAGGGAGAGGTGAAGATCTGCCATAACTGAATGTTTTTTTAAAATATACTAAGTGAGCTCATCAGAAAAGTGAGAGACAGTAACAGAGCAAGCATGGAAGCTCACAGCAAATCAATAGAAATCACCAAGTTCAAAAACAGAATGGGCAGGGAGATTAAATAAACTGAATGAGCACATAGTTATATAGGGCAATATGAAGCAATCGAAAGTGCGAGCTGTGGAGTCTTGAAGAGCAGGGACCGCCAGGCGGTGGCGCACACCCCAACCCTAGCACTCGGGAGGCAGAGGCAGAGGCAGGCGGGTCTCAGGGAGTTAGGGGCCAGCCTGGTCTACAGAGTGAGTTCCAGGACAGCCAAGGACTGTTACACAAAGAAACCCTGTCTCAAAATACCAGAGCAGAAGTAGAAGAAAGAAATGTTTTTGAAAAAACAATTGATGATATATATCAGATTTGACTGCCGGAGAATTAACTAACGTACAGACCCCAAAAATAAGATACATGGAAGAATAAACAAAGAAAACTCCTTTTTCATCTACACAGAGAAAACTTATATGTTACACATAGAAAACAGCTATACAGTTAACAGCTAACATAATTATGGAGGTCAAAAGACGCGGGTTGACATGTTCAAATAATGGAAGGAAGAAACTTTTCAGTTAAGAATTCTGTGTCGATTGACATCAAGGGAACCTGTATGAGACCAAACCAGGCCCCCTGAAAGTGGGAGTCAGTTGGGGGGCTTGGGCAGTCGATGGGACACACTGGCTCTGGAACCAGTATTTTTATCCTTAGTGCTTGAATGAGCTTTGGGAGCCCATTCCCTATGGACGGATATTCTCTCGTCCTAGATACACGGGGAGGCCTAGATTCTGCCCCAAATGATGTGACAGATTTTGATGATCCCACATGGGAGGCCTCACCCTTCCTAGGGAGTGGACGGGTTGGGATGAGGAGATGGTGGAGGGGGTGTGAGGACAGGAGGGAGAGGGAACTGGGATTGGTATGTAAAATAAGATTGTTTTTAATTTAAATAAAAATTAATTTTAAAAAAGAATAAGGGCAAACTAAAAACTTTTTTTTTTCAAGACAGTGTTTCTCTGTAGGTCTTGGAACTCTCTTTGAAGACCAGACTGGCCTTGAACTCACAAGAGATCAGCCTGCCTCTGCCTCCTGAGTGCTGGGATTAAAGGCCCTCGGGCCACCACCACCTGGCTACTAAAAACATTTTTAAATATAAACTGAACTTTTCACTAGAACTCCTGCATTGCAAGATATTTAGGTCAAAAAAAAAATGACATCAAGTGGAAATATGTATTGTCACAAAGAAATGGAGAGCATCAGAAATTCTAAATATAGGCTTAGAAACTAACACTTTAAGAAATAGGAGCTGGAGAGATGGCTCTGTGGTTAAGAGCACTGCCTGCTTTTCCAGAGGTCTTGGGTTCAATTCCCAGTACCCACCTGGTAGCTTACAACCATCTGTAACCCCAGTCCTGGGGATCTGAAGGCAGCAGGACACACATGCATACAGAACACTCACACACATAAATACTTTCTTTAAAAAAAAGAAAAGAAATAGTTTCTTTAACAATAATTTGCTTGAAAAGTATAATAATAAATATCTTTATTTCTTACAGGAGGGTTAAGACAGGATTGCCACAAATTTGAGGCTAGCTTTGGCTTTAGAACCTGTCTCAAAAAAGCAGGAACAGAAATGAGCAGGAGTAATGTGGTGATCTCTGTGACTTTCTTGGGCAGCAGAGTGACAAACTGTGGAAGGAAAGAGGCTTCAATGTAACATGATTCAAACTTTGGGAGTCTGGCCCAAGAGGTTCACTTAAGCATAGCATAGTCTGGTGAAAACTGGTCTTGTGATAACTTTCTCAATCCCATGTATCTAAAATCTCTTTGAAGAAAAGTAAACTAAATACAGATCAGACGTGATTACATCAAAACTCTGTACATGTGCCACCTTCCATAAAGAAATGCTATTGATTGACTGAGAAGACAAGTCTATTAGAAGGGTCTTGAGGGTCCAGTGCCAGGAAGTCCTGGTTCACACAGATAGTGCAAAGGTCATCAGACTAGAAAGCACATCCACTCCAGCCTTCTGGGTGGAAAATAGGTTTTGTCTATATTCCCTTGAAAGAGCAACCTTGTGTGCTTAACATTCCAGATTCCCCTACTGCATGTCTATGAGCACAAAGACCTCTGTGCCCCATACAGAGTAAGAAATTGAGGAGCTTGCATATGTACATACATAAATTAGTATAAAATTAGTATAAAAGTGTTTACAAATATTTACCATAAAAATATAGGTGAGGAACAAAATAAAGAACATCTCTTAAGGTACCTATATTTTTACCCTAAATAATGCATTTTTTCCCAAGCATAATAGAACATCTGAATTTCTAGACTATAATCCCCAGGTCAGCCACTGAAAATAGAATTAAAAGATGTATAACTAGAAAAACAAGAGGAATTCAAAGGAGATAGTTAGAAAATCAATAAAGTGACCATAACAGGTGAAAGAAAGAGAGAACAGAAGCAATGTAAAAGATTCTTGAGAAATTTAGCACATTGGGGGATACATCATGTAATAAGGAATGGATAGACTAGAAGTAAGTACCAGGCTTATGAAGAACCTTTATGAATCTTGCCAAGGCATTTAACTTCAATCCTAAAATTCATATCAAACTGGGAACGGTTGAAAACAGGAGTGACATATGATATGTATATGCTTATGTGTGTGTGTGTATATGTGTGTATGTGTGCATCTGTTGCTGGGAATTGAGTCCAGGGTCTTTTGCAAGCTAAAGAAGTACTCTAACACTGAGCTATACCCCCAACCTGGTGATGTTGCATTCTAACAGTTGGCTATAGGAGGTGAGTTAAATTCAGACCTTTGGAGTAGACATTCAGCTCCATATGTTCAGCTGGCTGTTGAGTGAGTATCATCAAAGTCACCAATGCTGTCTGGTTCTTTCCTAGAAACTGAGGCCTTTGATTTGCCGAACAATTCCTAGTCTAGGACTAGGTACATACCAGATTTGTACTTGACCCACTCAGAGCCCCATGTCTTTGAACCTGTTGACAGTGGTGACTTTCACCTCTATTGAGAAACAGCATCCATGCAGAGAGAAAGTAGTGCGGGAGATGAAGAAAGCAGTTCATGACCACCAAGAGGCAAAAATTTGTATAAAAGCATCATAGTGAAACACTTTGTATGCTAACTAAAATATTTAAAACATTTAAAAGTGAGAGAAATTGCATGTTGGCTATGGTGGCAATAGTTAGTGTTGCCAGACCATAATATACCATAACCAGCCCAGTGAGAAGACACCTGGAGACCAACACAGTATTATTATTCCAGGTTCCTGGCACAACAGGTGTTGACAACACCTCTGGCTGGCATCATCAAGCTTTACAATTTGTTTGCTCAACCTGCTGAGCAATGGGAATGAAGATTAGTGGTTTTCCATTAGTTGAAACTCAGACCATTGCTTTTATTGTTTTAGAAACAATCTCTTTTAAAGCTGATTGCAGGCTAGATGTGGTGGTGCATGCCTTTAATCCTCGTACTCAGGAGGCTGAAGCAAGAGGATGTCGGTTAGTTCAAGGCCAGACTAGTCTACATAGTGAGTTCCAGGCCAGCCAGAACTACAAGGTTCCTGTCTCAAACAAAGGCAGGGAGCTGGAGAGATGGTTCAGTGGTTAAGATCACTGGCTGCTCTTACAGAGGACCCAGGTTCAATTCCCAGCACCTATATGGCAGCTCACACCTATCTGTAACTCCAGCCCCAAGGGATTTGACACCCTCACAGACAGGTGTACAGGCCAAACACCAATGCACATAAAATGAAAATAAATAAATAATTTAAAAAGAAAAAAAAAGACATAAAGCTGATTACATACTGGAAAAAGTTGTGCATCCCTACCTAGGCCCCCAACAGGAAAGACAGACAGTTGAATTTTAATCTCTGCCCCTGCTATTTAGCTGTTTAATCCTTAGGTAAGCACCCTGGCCCCTCAAAACTAATTTTTACCTGTATATAATGGATATGGCAATACTATCCTGCAGCACCATTGTGAAAATTTAAGAAATCATAGAAAAATTGCATGAGTAATTGTGGAGACAAGATAACAGGATGTAAATATTTTTAATTTTATTTTATATGTATGGGTGTTTGCCTGTGTCTGTGTATCAGCTATGTGTCTTATGTCCATGGAGACCAGAAAAGGATATCCAGTCCCTTGGAACTGGAGCTACAGATGTTTTTAACCACCCTATGGATGCTGGGAGTCTAACCTAGTCCTCTGGAAGCATAGCCAGTGCTCTTAACTGTGTGCTCTATAGAAGACTCAGAGACCTAAAAGCCTGTCAACTTTAGCATTTCATTATAGCTGTACTTTCACACAAATGCTGCCTTTGGCTCTAAACATTTTGTATTTAGTCAAACCTCTCCTCTGATTATCAATGTCCTCCCAGTCTCCAGAAAAATTTACACTTACATATGCATAGAATTAATGGGATATTTTTCTCTAGCCCCTAAAAATTCAATTATCCAGCTAAGTTACCTACGTCTCTCTCCCTTTTAGGAGTGTCCTTTGAGAGCCTTCTCTGGTGAAACTAGGAATCTTTGGGACTCCTGGATCCTGTGACAAACACTCAATGTGTTCTTAGTATGTAGGTCCTCATATTAACTTATCATCTTGCTTAACTCCTGTTGCAAATTATCCTGGAAATTTGCTTTTCAAGCAAAGGTTGCTTTTTGTTTGTGAAGAATAGACTATTCTCTACTATTTACCTGTCTTTCTTGGATCAGGAAAAAAAAATCTCATTCTCACATACATCTGCCATTTAAATAATTTATGAATTTGTACAGAAGAAGTTGACAGGTTTGACATTAGTGTACTAGGCTTTCTTTTGGGGCTACCAACCAGCTCCTAAATCATGACACAGAGACTAACTAGTTATGAATGTTCAGCCTTATCTTAGCTCTTATTTTAAGTCATTTCTCTTATCTACCTTTTGCCTCCGGGCTTTCTGTATATCTTATCTTACTTTCCTGCTGTCTCCATGTCTGGCTGTCTGTTACCTGGCCTTCTCTTTCTCCCTTGTTCTCTTCCCCTTCTTCTCTCCGGAGCCTGGGTTTCTTCTCCTAGTCATTCTCTCTGCCCACCAGCCCCATTTATCCCTCTCCTGCCTACCTGTTGGCTGTTCAGCTTTTTATTAGATCAATCAGGTGCCTTAGGCAGGCAAGGTAAAACATAATAAAACATGCAGCACAAGCACAAATTTAACACATCCTTTCATCATTAAACAAATGCAGCATAAACAAATGTTAACACATGATTACCTAGTTAAAATAATATCCCATAACATACTACCAAAATGTTATGTAAAGGGAAAAAAAACTAATACTTACAGATGTATAGGAAGCTTGAGAATTAGCTCAGAGGTAGAATATTTATCTAGCATGCACAAGGCCCTGAGTTCAATCACTAGCAGTGTGTGTGTGTATGAAACCATTATAGGTTTGAAGAGAAAACTGACTCTAGAAAAATGTCCAGAGACCTACAAGGATGACCCCAACTAACAATCTAAGCAACAGTGTGGAGAGGCTACCTTAAATGCCCATCCCTGATAATGAAATTGATAACTAAGTTATATGCTATCCTAAAACCTTTGTCTAGTAGCTTTTGGAAACAGAAGCAGACACCCACAGCTAAACACTGAGCCAAACTCCTGGAATCCAGTTGCAGAGAGGGAGGAGTGATAAGCAAAGGGGTCAAGGCCAGGCTACAGAAACCCACAGAGACAGCTTACCTGAACAAGGGGAGCTCATGGACCCCCCAGACTGATAGCTGGGAAACCAGCATTAGACCAACTCAGACGCCCTGAACATGGGTCTCAGTTAGAAGGCCTGAGCAGTCTAAGGGACCTCTGACAGTGGAACCAGGATGTATCCCTGGTGCACAAAAGGACTTTGGGAGCACATTCCCCTTGGAGGGACACTCCCTTAGGCTAGAGACAGGAGGGAGGGTCTAGACCCTACTCCAAATGACTTGACAGATTTTGATGATCCCTCCTGAAGGCATCACCCTCCCTGTGGAGTGGGGGGGGGGAATGGGAGGGGAGTAGCAGTCAGGGGGCATAGGAGGGAGAAGGAACTGCGATCGATATGTAAAATAAGGAAAAAAATAATTTAAAAAAATCAGCTTCAAAAAAAAAAAAGGAAAGAAAAAAATATCAATGAAATGAGAAAGTAAAGTGATGTCCATTGTTGAAAGCTAAAACCTCAGTCTTCTCACGTGAAGTTAATGTGCCCTTCTCTCACGATCTTTAACAGGACTTCATTGACCTAACTAGAGAGACCAGAACAAGGGCAAAAGATCGTAATGGACTCTGTGTGATTGACCTGACAAGAAATGAGGAAGAAAATAGACCTATTGCCACTCTTGATTTGACTTTAGAACCTGTAGGTTCCTCTCAGAAGGAGGCACCCAGTCTTCAGACGTGTCCCAGTCTTTCAGGCAAAGAGGTGGTAGAAGCCCATGGAGACAGAGGCTCTCAGCCTGCAGCACCGAGAATCGTCAACAGTGATCCTGTAGATTTGGATTTGTTGGAGGAAAACATGTTGGAAGGTTCTCGGCCTCCTACATCTATCAACCAGAACTCTGTGTATCCATCAGAACCAAACTGTAGCTCGATCACATACAAAGGTGACCTCAGCTTCTTGACAAGCCTACAGCTCTCTTCAGATGTTAGCTCCTTCTCCTCGACAAGCAATAACAGTAGCAGCAGCAATCAGAGGGCCTCTTTGCCATGCCCACAGCAAGATATGCCTTGCCAACCACAAGGCTTACTGTGTCCACTACAAGCCTTATCATGCCCACTAAGAGCTTCACCATGTCCACCACGAGCTTCCTCGTGTCCACCACAAGCCTTGTCATGTCCACCACAAGCCTTGTCATGCCCATCACAAACTGTGCAGTGCCAACTCCAAGCTTTGCCTCATCCTCCTCAAGAAGTGCCATGCCCTCCTCAAGAAGTGCCATGCCCTCAGCAGAATATGTCAAGCACACGTCAAAACTTATCGTGGCATCCTCAACACCCACTATACCCACCCCAAGACACTCTGGGCCTACCTCAAGATGTTCCAGGCCAATCTCAAAACCTGTCTTATCCACAAGATATAACGCAACTGCAAGACATGGCATGGTCGCTACAAGACATGCCACTGTCACTACAAGATGTGCTGCAGTCACTGCAAGATGTGCCGCCACTGCTGGGAGATGTGCCACAGTCACCAGACGTGATGCAGTTACCAGGGTATGTGACACACTCATCAGGAGCTGTGACACACTCATCAGGAGCTGTGACACACTCATCAGGAAATGTGATGCGGGTACCAGGAGCTGTGACACACTCATCAGGAGCTGTGACACACTCATCAGGAGCTGTGACACACTCGTCAGGAAATGTGACACACTCGTCAGGAAATGTGACACACTCGTCAGGAAATGTGACACACTCATCAGGAAATGTGACTCACTCATCAGGAAATGTGACACACTCATCAGGAAATGTGATTCGGGTATCAGGAGGTGTGACACCCTCATCAGGAGCTGTGACACACTCATCAGGAGCTGTGACACACTCATCAGGAGGTATGATGAAGTCATCAACAGGTATAACACAGTCACTAGGAAATGTGCTGCGGTCATCAGGAGGTGTGACACAATCACTAGGAGGTGTACCGCAGTCACTAGGAGGTGTGATAAAGCTATCAGGGGTGTCACAGTCCCCAGGAGGTGTGTCGCAGTCATCAGGAGATGTGATGCAGTCACCAGGAAGTATGTCACAGTCATCAGATGTGATGCAATCACCAGGAGGTATGCCACAATCATCAGGAGATGTGATGTCGTCACCAAGTGTGCCACAGTCAGCTGGAGATGTGATAAAATCACCAGAAGGTACATCACGGTCATCAGGAGATGTGATGCCGTCACCAGGAGATGTACCGCAATCAGCTGAAGATACACCACCCTTACCAGGAGATGCGTCGCACTCACCACAAGGGTTATTGAACTTAGCCAGAGACAAGCCAAAGTCTTCTCCGGATGAAGTTCAGAATCATGACACTCCTATGGATATCTCTGCTCCATCCTCTCCAAATTGCTCTGCGAGCCCACTGTCTCCACAGTCTGAATTTTCCTTAGAAAAAGTCCCTTGGCTGTCTGTCACAGACAGCTTAGCCAGAAAAGAGAGATCGTTGCCACAGCTTGCCAACCCTGGATCTGCCCAGATACAAGGACAAATACCACAAGTTGGGGTATACAATAGACCTTGCCTGCATAGACTGAAATACTTCTTACGACCTCCAGTACATCATCTCTTCTTCCAGACATTAATACCAGATAAAGACACACGGGAGGTAAGGTAGCATACTCACTCCCCTTGGGGAGTGTATCTCCTTCCTATAGGCCCTAGATAAAGTTACTATGACTAGAATCCATGCATTAGAGAATGGGCCAATAGAAATGATATTTTTCTCTTTCCCCCACTTAAAGTTGAAGTTAGGTCTGTGTTCAGATCTCAGCCCACACATGCCCTGCTCATGTCAACTTTCCTTTGTGAGCCTTAGTCTCCCTGTCTGTAAAGCAGAGGTTAAAACACACCTCAGAGGGCCGATGAATGAGATGTGTGTAAAATGTAAATGTTCATTAAATTCTTGTTTTCCATCCCTTTATCCTTCTCTTCTTGGTACCCATACAGTTTCTATGTCACAGAGAGACTTGTCACTTCAGTGCCTCAAAAAATTGCTTAGAATTTGGATGTAGAAATTCAATTTAAAAACTTTGATGTAGATACCATTTTCCATTTGTCTTCATTGACCTATGAGAACTAAATTAGATATATATGGATAAAAATGTTGTGACAGTCTCATAGTATGAAGCTTTTTTGGTTATCCCAAACTGCACCCTCAACCTTAAGAAGGTTCCAGCACTTCAGAGGCAGAGGAGGCAGGTGGATCTCTGAGTTCAAGGCCAGCCTGAACTACAGAGTTTTCCAGGACAGACAGGGCTACACAGAGAAACGCTGTCGCAAAAAAAAAAAAAAAAAACCCAACAAGCAAAGGTCATAAGGTAGGCAGGCTGGCAAAATGGCTCAGTAGGTAAAGGCACTTGCTGCCAAGTCTGGCAACCTGTACTCGGTAGACTGAGCCCACATGGTGGGAGTAGAGGACTGACTCATACAAACGTCCTCGAACCCTCATATTTGCACCATGGCATAGACACATACAAACAAATAAAGTGAAAAATTAAACAAAATGTAATTTTAAAAGTCAAAAGGGCAGGGCTGGAAGACAACTCAGTGCTTGTCTGCTACTTTTCCAGAGGAACATGGTTTAGTTTCTAGCACCCATATAGGGTGGGGCAGAACCTCCTGGACTTGCAGCACCCACCCTCACATGCACAGACCCACACATGCATACACAGAGTTGAACTAGATTTTTGTAAAAAGTGCTTTCTTAAAAAAAAAAAAAATTTAATGTATTTAAAGTCACCTATAGTGCTATCAGACAACATTGCTGTAATTCTATGTAGTCCCTTTCCAATTGCCTTTTATACATAACCATTTTAATTTTTATTAATTGGTGTTTTTTAACATGTATTTGTTATTGGTTTTTTTGTTTATAGACTATAACGCTTAAAAACCATGCATGATGGCACGTGCCTGTAATGCTAGTGCTTAGGAGCTGGAGGCAGAAGGATCGGGAGTTCAAGGCCAGTGTCTGCTGTAAACATAGTAAATTCCCTATCAACCTGGGCTATGTGGTACCCTCTCAAAATCAAAAGAGAAAGATTGGGAGAAAAGGAGGGGGAAGAAATGGTATTCATTCTTCTAGCAACACAAAGTCCTAGTTTTTGTTTTGTTTTTTAATGTATATGAATGCTCTATGTGCATGTACAACTTCATGCCCGAAGAGGGAGTCAGATCCCACTATTGAAGGTTGTGAGCCACCAAGTAGTTGCTGGGAATTGAACTCAAGACCTCTGGAAGAGCAGCCACTGCTTTTAACTGCTGAGCTATCTCTGCAGCCCAACTCAAGTCTTCGTATATCTAAAAATGTCTACTATACTGCCCTCATAATCCTAGCACTTAGAAGGTAGAAGCAGGAAGATCAAGAACTCAAAGCCCTCTCTGACTGTTCTTGGCTCTTTGGTATTTGCCTTTCTGTTACTTTTCTGTTGTTTGTTTTTTGAGACATGGTTTCTCCATGTAACCTTGTCTGTCCTGGAACTCACTCTGTAGACCAAGCTGGCCTCGAACTCACAGAGAACCACCTGCCTCTGCCTCCCAAGTGCTGGGGTACCCAATTTTGTTATATTTTAATATAGATGAAATCATGTTGTATATAAAATTTAGAATTCTTGTCTTTTAACTTCCCTACATCCAACCATCATTAAGAGTTCTTTTTTCTTTTTTTTTAAGTAGGGCTTTCTTTCTCTCTTTAATAAAATATTTCAAATGCATAGAAAACTTTGCTGTTTTCAACCTATTGCTAAACCTCTTGCTTGTAGGAACTATAGAACCCATCCTGATGTCTGTCTATCTCTTTGTCTCTACAGAGCAAGGGTCAGAAATTAGAACCCATCCCTCATCGAAGACTAAGAATGGTGACAAACACTATTGAAGAAAACTTTCCTTTGGGGACTGTGCAGTTTTTAATGGACTTTGTTTCACCCCAACATTACCCACCCAGAGAAATTGTGGCTCACATCATCCAGAAAATCCTGCTCAGTGGCTCTGAGACTGTGGATGTCCTCAAGGAGGCCTACATGCTTCTCATGAAAATTCAACAGTAGGAGTCATTATTGCTGGTTGACCAAGTCTTGTAGGGAATGTAGACTCAGGGCACAGCTTTCCTTGTCTAAGCTTTATTAAGCTGACTTGGGGGTTTCTTAGCAATGTTGACTGCAACTGCAGGAAACCCAATCAAAACTGGCTTCAATTGCTGGTAAAATAATTTAGTGACTTATTTTTACTAGAGACTGGGAATAAAATGTTATTTGATGCTGTTTTCATAAGTGGCTACTGGGACCCAGTGTTCAACTCTGCCTTAGTTCTGGCTTTGGGGCTCTACACTGTAGTCTTCAGCTTCAGATTTTTATGGTACTTTGAGTTAGAAAATCAACTTCCATAATTACACAACCATTCTGAAACTGAGTCAAATTGTAACTCGACATGACATGAATCCATTTTTGAGATAAACACAAAGAATTGAATGATAGGATATTATAGTTAACTCAAATCATGTAGTCCTGGTAGGTAAAGCTCAATAACTATGGTGCCAGAGACTGGCATGGTGTGGCACTGGAGGGCAGGGCAGAGTGCTCAGGGTAAGAAGATGCTTTGTCTCCTGTCACCTTACAGACCCTATCCCTTCTGCCTCTAAATTCTCCACAGTTCTGATTGATGTCACTTGACTTTCAGGCTGCATCCAGCCAATGCCAAGACAGTGGAGTGGGACTGGAAACTGCTCACCTATGTCATGGAGGAAGAGGTAACATAAATTGTGAGGATAGATCTTTTGCAGAGGAATTTTAAATTACATTTATTTGTGTGCGGGTGTGGGTGTGGGTATGGTTGTGAGTATGGTTGCATATGTGAAGGCACCATGTTGTGTGAAGTGAAAACAACTTGCAGGAGTTGGTTCTCCCATCCATCCTGTGGGTCTTGGGGACTGACTCATGTTGTCAGGCTTGTCAGCAAGCACCTTTACCACCAAGCCATTGTTCCCTGCTGACAGTCCTACCTCACCAAAAACTGACTTTAAAAAAATGCCATCTCCAACTCAAATACTAATATACTCATGTCTTCTCTCCTTGAGATCAAACTAAAAAGATTAGTAAAAGGGTTAGTGATACAGTTCAGGGGTGGGGCACTTACCAACCCTGCATGAGATCCTGAATTCAGTCCCTAGTACTGCAAATGAATAAATAGTAAATGCAGTTATACTCCATAGCTATGAAAGTAAAGGGAAGGACGATGTGTGTGAGTCAAGATGCAAAGTCCAAGGAAAACATGGAAGTGATGAGCAGTGAAGCTGGGCAGAGACAGCAGTGAGCTAGAGCACACGCGGAGGGGGCCACAGCCAGGGACGGAAATCTTCGCATTAGAGCACCAGTAAGTTCTCCACTCGGAAAGGCAGGGTATATGCTGACAGGATGGATGAGTCTAGCATGGATGATGAGTATCTGCTGAAAATCATTATATGGAGATGCTAACTCCTACATTCTGGAACACAGTAGGCAAAAAGTCTAAAGAAATGGCATGAACCATCTGTAATAAACAAAAGCAGATGCTATAAAGTTAGTAATCCAGAAAAAATACTTTCCATATTCTGCCTTTAGTGACCTCCAACTTTAACTGCTGGAGTTACTCTATCTGCTCACCCTACAGTAATCAAACAAGTGATTTTTTTTTCTTTACTTAAAATTCTATACTCAGACAAAGTATGAGTTAGGTATGAGGATGAAATAAAGATGTGGGCTAGAAAGATGGCTCAGTGGTTAAGAGCACTGGCTGGTCTGGTGGAGGATCCAGGTTCAATTTCCAATGTGGGTACATAGTAGCTCATATCCATCTGTGACTCCAGTTCCAAGGGATCTGGCTCTCTCTTCTGCCCTCTGGGGGCAACAGGAACATATGAGGGACACACATACATGCAGGCAAAATATCCATACACATTAAATAAATTTCCAGATATGTAGGAACTTGAAAGTATAGCTCATGTTTCTCAGGAGATTGAGTACCAACGAAAAAGGGAAGTATGCAATCCTAGGAACATAAGATGGAATCCAAAAGAATATTAAAGAGAAATTCTAAAGTGACAATGACTAGAAAACCAAGGGAACAGTAATTCCAGAATGGAGTGGAGTAACAAAGCATTGTGACAGTAATAGGGACACCAGAGAGATGGCAAGCTAAGATGCTCCAGACTCTTGCTGTCCAGTACACACTGTATCAACAACACATATTAGTTACTGTTCTGTTGCTGTGATGAAACACCATAACCAACGACAACTTAGAAGAAAGAGAGTTTAGGGCATGATGGCATATGCCTTTTGGGAGGCAGAGGCCAGCCTGCTCTACAAAGTAAGTTCCAGGACAGCCAAGGCTGTTATACAGAAAAGCCTTGTCTTGAAAAAGAACAGTAAAAGAAGGAAGGGTGTATTTATGGCCCAAGCTAGCTCCAGCGCTTCAGTTTCCTGGGCTGGGCCTCTTGTTCAGCTGCACATTTGTATTTCTTCCTGCTGCCCCACCCTGTCTCACAACATTGTAGACCTGAGAAAGAGTGACCACTAATAGCCACAGTACAGAGTGTGTAAGGGGCGGTTTACGGATCTCTTCCAAGGAAACTAACCTAATACTTCACAAGGTGGCCTCAGGCAGATTCTTAGGACAAGGTCAAAAAGCAGCCATGTTCTTTGCCAAAATATCATAAGAACAGTCTCAAGCCCAGTTGGAAATATGTTCCCTTTTGAAATCTCTGAATGGGCCTCCAAAGTCCACATGGCTGTCTGCATTGGCCCATTAAACTCTTACAGCATTTAATCACTCTTTTAGTTCAAAGTTCCAAAGTCATCCACATTCATCCAAAACACCACAGAGTCATAGTGGCTGAGGGATCTCTGCATGCACCAAGGCCAGCAGAATGTGGGTCTCTGTCAGACTGAGGGAGAGGGTTTCTGGGTGCACCAAGGCCAACAGAATATAGATCCAGAGCAGGCAAGGAGAATATTTGGTTCAACAACTTTGAGAGTCCGACACTTGGTAATTTATTTTAGGCAAATTTAAATGAAGCACAATTTGGGGAAAAGTTTCCTGGTGATAATTAACTCAGTCCCATATACACAACAAAGCTAAAACATGACCACATCAACACTCCTTATAGAGTGACTTTCGGTTCCAGAGAGTCCGAGCTGACAGCAGGAACACCTGATAGTTCACATCTTGATCCAAAAGCAGGAGGCACAGAATGGGGATGATGGGAAACTTTGAAACCTGAATCCACCCCCAGTGACACACCCCCTCTAAGAGGGCAACACCTCCCAATCCTTCCCAAACAAACACCAAGTATTCAAATGCCTGAGACTTATGTGGGAGAGCATCTTATTCAAACCACCAGACAATATAGGGACCACAAGATTTGTGAGAACGCCAGAGACCAGAGTAGCTGCAGAAACAGTCTACCTCATGACCATGAATGTGCTCCATCAGTAGAGGTAGCAATTTTGTAGTATTTACCATGCTCAAAATAACCAAGAGAAAAAAAAAAAGAAAAAGAACAGAAAAGAAAACTTTTTATTATGGTCAGTGGTGGCTGCTGGGCCGTAATGGTACACACCTTTAATCCAAGTACTCAGGAGGCAGAGGCAAGCAGATTTCTGAGTTTGAGGTCAGCCTGGTCTACAGAGTGAGTTCCAGGACAGACAGTGGTACACAGAGAAACCCTGTCTCAACAAAACCAAACCAACCCAGAACTTACTGTGTATATGCACGTGTGTACTGACACACACAAAACAACAGAATAAGGACAGTGTATGTACATACCTAAAGTAGGCATTAGTAGAAAACGGACAGGTCCAGAATTTTAAGCCACGCTGTTTGCTAAATGGCTTGCCCTAAATAAATCCAATCTGTACATACTAGAAAAGGTACTTTCTTCAAATACCTAATTCTCAGAAAAAAATTACAACCTGAGTTTATTCTCCAAAAAATATAAATAAAGCTGTTAGCTAGACTTAAGAAGAAGGACAGTATTTAAATAAACAAGAGATGTTAAAGAAGATAAACATAAGAGATCATTGGAGAAGCTAGGAGTGGTGGCATACTCCTTTAACCCCAGCACTCGGGAGGCAGAGGCAGAGGCAGGCGGATCTCTGTGAGTTTGAAGCCAGCCTGGTCTACAGAGTGAGTTCCGGGGCTGTTACAAAGAAAACACAGGAACCCTGTCTTAAAAAAAGAAAAAAGAAAAAGAAAGAAAAGGAAAAATTAGAGATTAAAGAAATGCATGCCAAAAAAATAATAATATAGAAGAAATGGATAAATTTCTAAACATGTATATCTTACCATGAGTAAATCACAAAAAAATTATACACATATATAAAATATATATATATATATATATATATGTATATATATACACTACCTCCTGTGCTTCTATAAATGCTCATGTACTGTAAACTGTCTTTGTCCCCAGCATATAGATTTAGTTGATAAAAGGTTACTAAATAGAGGGCAGAGGTGGTGCACACCTTTAATCCCAGCATCTGGGGAGGGGGCAGAAGCAGACAGATGTCTGAGTTCAAAGCCAATCTGGGTTACACAGATACCCTGTCTCAAAAAAGGTGGAGTGTGACTGAATGAGGGCGCTAGTCCGTTGGTGGTTTCATGGTTGATGGCATTAGAGAGGTTGGTACTGGATGGAGGCAGCTGACTCCTAGAAGCACTCAAGGATGTTATATTCTCCCTGGATCTCTGTTTGGCCATGGATCATGTTGGCCATGATCTTCTTCCTTGCCAAGGAGCAAAAGCCAAGAGAAATGAGAAGAAAGGAAACAGTAATTGGCAGAGGGTGGGAGAAATGAGAGGCGCAGAGTCTTTAATACGTTTGGCAGGGTGTGGTGACTGTGAATAAGCTGACTTCCTCACGGTGAAGAATACTTGAAGGAATTTGAAAGGACAGATTTATTTGGGCTCTTGATTTCGGAGATTCCAGTCCATGGCTGGCTGGCTCTATTCCAAACTGTAATGAGTCAAACATCCCACTAGAAGGTATGTGGGTGAAGAAAACTCCCTTCTCTATAGCATTCAGAAAGCAGGGAGAAAAGTGGGCTCCCGGTGACCTGTTTCATCCACCTAGGCCCCGCCTCCTAAGGTACCAAAGCTCTTAAAATAATACCCGCTGAGGTGTTATCCTCCAGAATACCAGTCGATAGAGGACACACATTCAAAGTGTAACACTATTAAAAGGGCTAAGATAGAAATTTAATATCATATCAATTTACCACACATTTTTTAGGCAAGAATGTGAAGAATGAGTAAGGTTGTCATTGCCAGTGAGAATGCAAATGGCACAGACTTTGGAAAACAGTTGGTAGTTTCTGTGGCCATGACTCAGAATTCCTGCTGTCTCCCACAAATCTCCCCGTGATACAGATAAACTTGCTGACTCGTGGCATTTTCTTAGACTTTTGTTTATGACAGCCTATGGTTTCCTGACATCCAAGAAACTGAGAAACCAACCTGACTTCTTATTCTTCCACAGGGACAGACTCTGCCTGGACGAGTCCTCTTTCTACGTTACGTAGTGCAGACGCTGGAAGATGACTTCCAGCAGATCTTGAGGAGACAGCGGCAGCACCTACAGCAATCCATTGCAAACACTGTTCTGTCATGTGACAAACAGCCTCACAATGTCAGGTAATCAGATACTAGACTCTGGTATGACAAGAATAGGGACTGTTGTGAGTAACAAAGGCAGCGTGCTAGTCATTTCATTACTGACAACCATGAGAAAAGACAATTTGAGGAAAGAGGATTTATTTAAGCTCATAGTTTCAGAGGTGTTCAAACTGTCATGGCAGGAGCAGAGCTATTTGACGTGTGGCAGCCAGGAAGCCAAGGGGCCCAGTAAAGGAAGGGGCCGAAGCAGAATGCAGCCCCAGGGCCTCTCCCCAGTGATCTGCTTTTCCAACCAGGGTTCCCGTCCACAGCTTCACCATCTCTCAACTGAGTCTACTCAGATATGAGTTCATCAGGAGGTTGGCCATTCATTAGAGAAGGGCCTTCCTGATTTTGAAGCCTAATTGTTTTAGGAAGTTCTCTCACAGACACTCTTTAATGTGCTGGGTGTCCCGTTATGAGTAGGTTTTTTCCTTGCCGGTCTGGACTCACCACCACGCCAGCCCCAAATAATACACAGAGACTCTGTATTTGATATAATGCTGTTGGCCAGGTACTAGTTTCTTATCGGCTAGCTCTGTCTTAATTATTAACCCATTTCTATTAATCTAAGTATTTCCACGTGGTCTCATCTTACCAGAGAGAGGGGCTGACATTCTGCTCTCTCAGTCCACCATCTTTGAACTCCACCCAACTACTTCCTCCCTAGTCTCCTAGTCCCGCCTATCTTGCTTTCCTATTGGCCAACAGTGCTTTATTCATTAACCAATAAGAGAAACATATTTATAGAATGACATCTCCCATCATCTCCTCTTTTCTAAGTGAAAAGGGTTTTTAACCTTAACATAGCAAAATATGTAACAAAACAGTTATCAAATAAGGACCACAGTTAACAATATTTATTCCATTAACATTTAGCAAGATTTAAAGAAAATGTCCTATCATCTATCCTATCTTTGTGAGTCTAAAGTCCTATATGTAACTTATCTTTAATCCTAACTAAGGAAAACTATAACCATAACTATCTGTCTTCAACTCCATCAAAGGTCACAGAAGGATAATATATAAACTCTAGAAATGACAGAGACAACTCTCCTGGTCAGTCACCCAAAGTTCTTCTGTAATGTTCTGTCTTCAGCCATAGGCCTTAGTGTGTCTGGCAGACTCCTCCTCAGCAAAACAGGGAACTTTAAACTGTCCGCCTGCATTGGCAGTGTGTCAGTTACTTTTCTCTGTGTGAATATCTCACTACAGTCCCCAGTCACTCACTGCAAGCCCAGAGACTATGAGGGAATGAGAGTGTCCTCATTGCTCAATACCAAAACGCTGAGAAATCAGTAGAACTGAACTGACCGTGTGGCTAAGTGGCAGGGTTACTCCCTTGTTCTGAAGAGTCTATGGAAAGTTAGTTTTGAGATCTCATATGTCTGGAAGTATCTTTTTGCTTATGCATTGATTAATAAGTAGGCTTAATTATTTTAGTTTAGTTTACATAGTTAGAATTAAGTTTTGTGAAGAACTTTAAAGAAATTGCCTTCTAGCTGTCAGAAGTGCTGGTAAGAAATCAGAAGCAGGCCTGGAGAGATGGAGCAGAGGTTAAGAGCACTGGCTGCTCTTCTAGAGGTCCTGAGTTCAATTCCCAGCATCCACATTGTGGCTCACAACCATCCAAATTGGGATCTGATGATCTGATGCTCTCTTCTGTTATGCAGGCATACATGCAAATAGAGTACTCATACATGTAAATAAATATATCTTTAGAAATCAGAAGCAGGGCTGGAGAGATGGTTCAGCAGTTAAGAGCACTGACTGCTCTTCTAGAGGACCTGGGTTCAATTCCCATCATCTACACGGCAGCTTACAACCATAAATAATTCCAGTTCTAGAAGATAGGACACCACCTTCTAGCCTTTGTGGGCACCAGGCCCATACATATGTGGTGAACAGACACACATGTAGGTAAAATAAGCATACACATAAGATTAAAAAATAAATTCCATCAGTAATAATGTATAGAGAAAAACAAAAGAAAGGGGCCACAGCTCACACGTCTTATCTTTGATAATTGTTCTCTGTTTTGTACATGACATCTGTTTTCCCCAAGTTGGTTGCCTTTGGCAGGGGAGTGGGGTTATTTTGGTTATTTGGGTCTCTGGTTCCTTTTTTTTGTTTTTTGTTTTTGAGACATGGTCTCTCTGTGTAGCCCTGACTGGCCTGGAACTCACAGTGTAGACCGGGCTGGCTTCAAACTGATAACATCTGCCTGCCTCTGCCTCCTGAGTTCTGGGATTAAAGGTGTATGCCACTGCACCCAGCTCAATACTTTATAATTTTATTTTCTCTAGAGTTACTGTGGTTTTAAGAGGAAAACAATTATGTGTATCCAATACAACTATTTTATCTTGGTTACTTAAGTCATCAGTAATCATCAAAATAAATTTTGAGCACTTGGGAGGCAGAGGCAAACAAAAGCAAATCTCAATGAATTGAGGTCAGCCTGATCTACAAAGCAAGTTCCAGGACAGCCAGTGCTGTTACACAGAAAAAAACAACAAAACAACAAAATAATCTTTTTTTTTTTTTTTTTGCCTTACTGATAGAGCCTAAGCCCTATCTATATAAAGCGAGTTTGCACAACCTCCAGTCCTAGTCCTTACCTTTGTAGATGATACGTGGTAGTAGAGAGCTGGTGAAGACCTCTCTGGTCATCAGGTCCTGCTTTCCACCTAGTTAGATAGTATTGCTGGTTGGAACATCGTCTTTACCCCAGAGGTGCTTCTCTGTAGTTAAAATTTACGTAGCCACTTTTGATTGTTCGTTTGAAGGGATATGTAAAGCACACCTCCGTGGTCTGTGAAGGTATTTCCAGAGATCGATCTTGGGGGTTCTGCCCTAATGAATGTGTTAATGCTTTTATGAATTCACAGTACACTGGTATTATTTAGAAGTGTTGGCCTAATTGGGGGAAGTAGGTCATGGGGTGGAGCTGTCCTGGACATTACACTCATACTGGCTACTCGCTACATTCCCCTTTTCTCCATTTGTTTGTTTGTTTTGTTTCTACTAAGAAGTGAAGAACAGCCTCTGCCACATGTCCCTTCCCAGGATGCTCTGCCTGACTGCACATGTCCAAGCACCCATTGACTAACCCTCTAAAACTGGGAGCTGAAATAATCCCCTTCTTCCGTGAGGTATTTCTGTCAGGGATTTGCCACACAATGGTAAACATAACTAATATATAACTTCTAGGAAAGTGTTGAGGGCTGGAGATACAGCCCAGGGGTAGAGTGCTCGGCGAACCTGCACGCACAAGGCCCTAGGCTCAGTCCCCAGGACCACAGAAGAAGAAAAAGAAGGTTTATATTTCAGTTTGCTTTTATAACCAGGCTGTAATTAATTAAGTGTGTGATTTTCATTAGACTTATTTAAACACTGACAATAGCTGAGCAGTGATGGTGCACTCCTTTAATCCTAGCACTTGGGAGGCAGAGGCAGACCTCTATGAGTTTGAGTCCAACCTCATCTACAAAATGAGCTGCTGGACAGCCAGGGCTACACAGAGAAACCAAGGACATACATATTAGTATGTATGTCCTTGGCTGCCTTTGAGGAGTCTCCTAGTCTGGGAGCCCAGTATAATTATGCAGGTCTGAACATTATAGATACAACAGCAGTGCGTACATTTCCTTTCTTACCTCTTCTGTGTTCCAGAGATGTTATCAAGTGGCTGGTCAAAGCGGTGACCGAAAACGAATCAGCGAAGCTCCCAGATGGTACTCAGTCTTCTTCAGGAACAGGAGTCTTGAAAGCTGGCAGTGACCATCTGTCTCCCCAGCCTAACCTGACCAGGAACACCAATCAGCTGTAAGGAGCAAGCAAAGAGTTGTCTTCCAGGGCTCTGAGGATTTGGTATTTAAAGATTAAGACTGGTCCCACAGAGCAGCCTGCTCCAGATTACCTACTCTTGTAGCAGACTAATTGTGTTAGTACAGACTAGGAGTGTAATTATGGTGGAACCTTGTGAGCCTTCCAGTTGTCATTCAGAGTGTCACCTCCCCTCTTTCCAGCTCCCTTTTGTGGGTACTAACCCAAGTCCTAAGCCTGCTTTGCCGACCCTCAGGGCAGCAGCTCCCTTTCCTCGATGAGCCTTCTAACTCTGATCCGTCTCCTACTCCCAGCTGGCCAGCTGCCAAGAACTCTAGCTCGCATGCCCTGTTTTCTCTCAAACTCTAATAAGATAAAGTTGTCCTCATGATTAGATCTGGGCAGCCAGTGTGGCCTACCCTTGTCCATTATTTTGTCGCTGCCTGCAGTTCTGTTTTACTGTTATTTTGGGTTTTTTTTTTTTTCTTTTTTCTGAAAACAATGTCCTTACATCAAATTGTATGTGTTAATGACTGGTGTCAAACCAGACTCACCCTTCTGAAGTGTTGCCCAGTTTCCCAGCTGTGTCTCTGCCTTTCTCCTATATTTTCGTCTGGTGGGAAAGAAGGTGAAGGTCCAGTAAGGGGACATTCTGAAATCAGATACTAGAACTGCTAGAACATTCTCCTGGTAGGGACACAGAATTGGTTCTAGATCCCTTGCAACTGGAGTTACAGGTGGTTTTGAACCGCCATGTGGGTGCCTGGAATTGAACCTGGGTCCTTCGGAAGAGCAGCCAGTGCTCTTAACTGCCTAGCCAGGCATGCACACAGTACATAGACCTACTTGCCCAAAAAAAATATTCATATGTAAAAGTAATTAAGTAAACTTAATTTTTAAAAAATTAAATGGCAGATGCATGCCTTCTTCCAAAACAAAGAGATGAAGTTGGTCACTTTGGACCTGTTTCTTCATTTACAAAATAAGGGAAGTTACTATGTCTTTGAAGTTCTCTTGACCCTTCAGATTGTGTGGCTCTGCTTTTAATTTGAAAGCATCTTTCTTATTCAATGCACCCTCACATTCTGAAAGGTTTCAGGTAGATGAATTGTTCAATGAGAACAAGCTAATAACTTGATTAGCCTCCTTGGCCTGTTGTGTGTTTTGCCAACCCTCTAATAGTCTGTTCTTTTGTTGTATTGTTGTTGCTGTTTGCTTGGAGTTGTTTTATTTTGTTTGTGTCAGAGTCTCACCATGTAACTCTGGCTAGCCTGAAATTCACTATGTAGATGAGGCTAGCTTTGAACTCACAGAGGCCTGCCTGCCTCTGCTTTCTGAGTGCACCTCCATACCCAGCAGTCTGTTCGTGGTATACATTGGTGGGTAGGGACCTCCAGCTTCAGGAAGCCTCTCACCAAGTCACTCACTGGTGTCCTGTGTTCTGGCTCCAGGATCGTGTGTCAACTTCAGAGGATGTTGTCCATCGCTGTAGAGGTGGACAGGACTCCTACCTGCAGCTCTAATAAAATAGCTGAGATGATGTTTGGGTTTGTGCTGGACATCCCTGAGAGGAGTCAGAGGTAAGTCTAGTTGGAGCAGTTTGCTTTGGTTTGTTGGTTTCTCCACTATACGGAGTACTAACAAGTCATTTCTTATTAATTTCTTTTTATCTCTACCTGACAGAAACAGAATTTCACAAGAGAAAGACCACAGACTAGTTGAAACAGGGAGAAAGGAGTAAGGGGACTACTCATGCCTTTGAGATGAAAGGAGGGGGTTCCCAAACAATCAGGGCGGTCGAGGCACAGTCCCTTGGGAAGAAGCAGGGACACTGGCAGGGTACCCTGAGTCTCGCCATCATACTGATTTGATTAACAGGTCATCCTTCAGGCTTAGACTTGGAATAGACAAAAATAACTAAATAAAAGCTAACATTAATATTTTCTCAAAAGGGGTAAATTAGCCACCCACCCAAATTATACCAGAAGATATATGAAGTACCCTTTACTTTTATTCATTATTAATTCGGATACAGTTTGTAGTTTTGTGGGATTTTTTTACTGTTAAACTATACAGTTTTACATAGGGTAGTATTCACAAGTCCTGACAAATGCCTGCCTTGTCATTTTCCAGTGGCTTGTTGATAGTATCTAAAATATTGCAGCCTTGGCAGGAGGCACTTGGGAGGCAGAAGCAGGTGGATCTCTGTGAGTCACAGGCCAGCCTGGTGTACAGGACAGCCAGGACTGTTACACAGAGAAACCCTGTCTCCAAAAAAAAGGTTATGAGAAAACAGGTGCTTATTCATTGCTAATGAGAATATAAAAAGGCAAAAAATGATAAGAGCCTTAAAACTGTAAGGGTATTTGACAGTGTCTAACAGAATTACATGTGCATTCTAGAGAATGCCTTTGTTTTTGGTTTCTCTGTGTCCCTAGAGACAAGGCTGGACTCAAACTCAGATCTGCTGGCTTCTGCCTTCTGAGTGCTAGGATAATATTGAAACTTGTGCTTGAAGATATTCACTACAATGGTGTTTACAAATGTCCATACATGGAATATGAATAAATACCTACAACATGATGCCTGTACATGATGGAATATTATGTAGCTATATAAATAACAAAATTTCTATTAATTAACTGATTTCCAAGATATAGTGTGTATCAAAAAGTAAATGAGAGTCAGGCCTGGTGTTTGAGGCCTTTGATCTCAGCACTTACGCCTGATTGTTGTTGATGTTTGCAGGGTTGGGAGGATTGAGACAGGGTTTTTCTGTGTAGCCTGGCTTTCTGTGTAGACTGACTCAAGTGCTAGGATGGCCAGCCTCAAGCTCCGGCCTCCTGCCTCCTCCCTGGATTTGTCTTTTTCTAGTGTCAGGCTGTTCCTCGTCCTGTAAGTCACTTGTGTTACGGCATGTGGTTGTGTAGACCTCCGTTATGTCAGAACACTCAGGAGAAACATGCCTGTGAATGTCCTGCCTAATTCCCTCTTCTCCACACAGGGAGATGTTCTTCACTACTATGGAAAGCCACCTTCTGCGCTGCAAAGTGTTAGAGATCATATTCCTGCACAGTTGTGAGACACCCACCCGCCTTCCCTTGTCTCTGGCCCAGGCCCTCTACTTCCTGAACAACTCCACGTCACTGCTCAAGTGTCAGGTACTTCCCTTTCTCATTCAGTTCCTGGACCAGAGCTCTTCCCCCAACCCTGCTGTCTGAGCATCATGGCAAGCATTCATTACCTGCTGCTTTTACTATCTCTGCAGTCAGATAAAACCCAGTGGCAGACATGGGATGAGCTGGTTGAGCATCTGCAGTTCCTGTTGTCCAGTTACCAGCATGTGCTGAGAGGTAAGGTGCGCTTACTCACAAGCAGGTCCAGTGAGAGGTCTCCCAGTGGACGTTACACAAAGCACAGTCTCTCAGCCCATTCTCACTTGTTACCTACGTAAAGCCCTGTTCTAGGCAGGTGTAACCCAGGAAACTGAGGCAGAAGGATGAAGAGCTGAAGGCTGTATAGTAACACTGTGTATCAAAAATAATAATAATACAAGCTGGAAAGATGGCTTAATGAGGCCGAGCATTGGTGGCACACACCTTTAATGTGGCACTTGGGAGGCAGAGGCAGGTGGATCTCTGAGTTCAAGGCCAGCCTGGTTTACAAAGAGAGTTCCAGGACAGGCTCCAAAGTAATACAGAGAAACCATTTCTCAAAAAACAAACCAAACAAACAAAAAGGTGGCTTAATAATTAAGAGCACTTGCTGCTCCTATAGAGGACCCAAGTTCGATTCCCAGCACCCACATGGTAACTAACAACTGTAACCCCAGTTTCAGGGGACCCTCTTCAGTCCTCCATGGGCACTGCACACATGTGGTAAATAGAGATGAAAGCAAAACACCCACACACAAAAATAAGCACACATATGTTTTCACACACAAAAATAAGCACACGTATGTTTTGGGGCTTTTTGTTTGTTTGTTTTTTCTTTGTTTTTGTTTCTCTGTATTGCTTTGGAGCCTGTCCTGGTCTCAAACTCACAGAGATCCTCCTGCCTTTGCCTCCCCAGTGCTGGGATTAAAGGCATGCGCCACCAACGCCGGCAAGTATATATTTTTTTTAATTTTTAAAAATAGGAGCCAGGTGGTGGTGGTACACACCTTTAATCCCAAACTCAGGAGGCAGAGGCAGGGGGATCTCTGAATTAGAGGCTAGCCTGGTCTACAGAGCAAGTTCTTGGGCAACCTGGGCTACACAGTGAAGCCTTGTCTCAAAAACCAGTAATAAAAATAACAACAAAATAAAAACTCTGGAGCACTGTTCTTTAATGACAACTACTAGGAACATAGCTGGAATCACTGTGGTGATGTGCAAACCTTGTTATTTTGTTACAGCTGGTAATGATACAGGGGTCTCCCTAGTTAGGAGGTTGTGTAGATAAGCAAAAGCCCCATCGCGAGCCCTGGCTTCTCATAGCACCTTTGCTGAGGCAATTGTTCACAGACTGGCCCCATTATCATCAGCTGTCAATGAAGTACAGCTGTAGGTAGAGTACACCTGCAGCAAGATGGACACGCATCCTGAAGAAGATTCCAAGGACCTTAAAATGGATGGGGTTGTAGCTCTCGGTCAGAGCATTTGCCTTGAATGTCTGGTCCCCAGGACTGTGGCAAGGGAAACTTTAAAGTCTGAAATAGTGCTGTTCAGAGTTGCTGGTGGAGTTAGACTGGGTAGTATCAGGCCACACGTTTTGGCAAGGATCATAGTCATAACTTCATAGTGAGAATGACTATTAGGCAGAGATTATTGAGGACCTCATTAAGCTGAAGAACTGGCAGATTAATAAATACCTAGAAAGGCTGGGCTATAGCTCAGCTGGTTGAGCTCTCAGGTGAAGGCTCCCTTGGCTACTTAAGCAATAGCCATCCAGCAGTACAGGAGATCTTGTCACTGAAAAAGTTTAAGTCGAAGCACTAAGTGTATAGGTTTTTGAGTTTTTTTGTTTTTTATTTTCCCGTTTTGAGATTGGACTTAGTTTTGTAATTCAAGATGGTCTGAAACCTACTATGTATCCCAGATTGGCCTGAATTTATTCTTCTGCCTCAGCTCCCAGGTGCTAGTTTTACAGGAATACACCACGACTGACAAAAATAGTAACATCACAGAGAGAAATGGGGCATTTCCCCTGGACATGTTAGATGGAGAACACAGCCTCAAATGCTGTTCTTCCCACAGCCTGTGACCTTGTTCTGACCTCAAGGAAACACCCCACAAACCCAGAATGATGGCTGCCCTAGTCAGGGTTTCTATTGCTGGGCTACAACTCCATGACCAATAGCAGCTTGTGGAGGAAGGGCTTATTTGACTTACACATTGTATCACAGCCCATCATCCAGAGGAACCTGGAAACAGGCACTGAAGCAGAATCCATGGAATGATTACCGCAGCCCAGGCTGTCCTGGAACTTGACTGTAGACCAGGATGGCCTCAAACTTACAGAGATCCGCCTGCCTCTGCCTCCCCAAGTGATGGGACTAAAGGTGTGCGCCACCACAACCTGCTTCAGCCTGCTTTCTTACAACACCCAGGACCATCTGCCCAGGGATGGCATCACCCACAATGATCACTAAAGAAAATGCCCCACAGACCGATGTTAGAGGCATTTTCTCCTCCCAAATGACTGTAGTGTCAAGTTGACTCTAAACTTGCTGGGACAGAGACCATTTATGTTGTGTTAATGTTGTTTATTTGTATTAATTACACCAGTTTACAATAGTAAATGTCCTTGATCTTAGGAAATCTTTGCTGCATTATTGATCATGGTGTCTGTAGATTAGCCTCCGTAGTAATGAGGAAATTTTACCTGCCCATGCTTATGTTGAGGTTGATTTTAACTCAGTGATGTTACATAGAAAGTAAAGAGACCTCATAGACCTGCTCAGCTCTGGGTCCAGAATGCTGCACAGGACTTTTTTTTTTTTTTTTTTTTTTTTTTTTTTTTTTAATACTAGCACTAAAATAAAATCTCTGCCTTTCACTCTTTCCCTCTCCCCCCTCTCCCAGGCTGGCCCCGAACTCGTGGCTATCCTCCTGCCTTGGCCTCCTAAGTCCTAGACTATAGAGTGAGCTACACATAGACTTCTAGGTCCACTTCTCTACAATGCTGCTGATACATAACTTAGAACTGATTGATCTTGTATGAGAAAAAGTAGTAAATCTTCCATCACCGATATCTTAATTTCAGCCTGCCTGTCTGCCTGGTCAGGGCAGACCGGTCTTTCCTGTTTCATATTCTTACCACTAAAACTTCAGAGGTCTGGGGTTGTGGTGCTAGGGAGTGAACCCAAGCCTCCTGCATGCTAGACAAGCACTTTCCACTTAACTGTACTCCAGTCCTTGTTACTAGATGTCAAAGGGTGTGTTGTCGGGCCACAGTACACACTGTGTGCATTTTCTTGTTTTGTTTTGAGACAGGGTCTATTTAGTCATGACTGCCTTGCCCAGGAATGGTTTTTCTTGACAGTCAGTGTTGAGGCAAGAACACAAACCTTTAGGAAGCAGGGTTCCCACAGTAACTTTTGACTTGTTGTCTAGTAGCCAGACCCAGGCCTTACTTTTAAATTTGACTTCATTTGCTTCCTTCCCTCTTGCAGAGCACCTACGGAGCTCAGTGATTGATCGAAAAGACTTGATCATCAAAAGAATCAAACCCAAGCCCCAGCAAGGAGACGACATCACAGTGGTGGACGTGGAGAAGCAGATAGAGGCCTTCCGCAGCCGCCTGACCCACATATTGGGGGAACCTCTAGTCCCCCAGCTCCAAGACAAAGTGCACTTGTTGAAGCTGCTGCTCTTCTATGCTGCGGACTTGAACCCCGACACAGAGGCTGCCTCACAGCATTGAGGCAGCCACACTTGTAAGCACTGAGTACCGAGAATACCTCCTGACTGTTGCCAGCTACACAGAAGCTCTGAGTGGAATACCATAGGACCAAACATATCTTATTTATCTGTAGGCTCTAATAACTTTGTAACTCTTCAGTCTATCTTTTTTTATAATCCTTATCCTCACCTATTCAAACGTGGCTTAAATATACAAGGTGTATATATTTTTTATTAAATTATTTATCTATGCTTTTGAAACAGGCAATACGATATTGCACTATATGTCCAACATTTCCATTCAAGATGTGAAAGACCCCTTCTGCTAAACCATCTCCATCAGTGTTACGTCTGTCAAGATACTGACGGCCTGTTTCTGGAAAGAGTTTTTCCTGAATAGAGCACATTCTATATTAGACTTTTCATATTGCCTATAAATATGAATGACTCTGTGGCCAGTTAATTAAAGCTAATAAAACAAAGCAGGTAAAGAAACAAATACTAGAGCCTGTTAATGAAGCATCTAATGTCAAAAAGATACAACAAAAGGAACTAAGTTTACAAAGTTCCAGCTCCACTAGAGGGCAGGCAGAATGGACAAGAGAGACCCAGGTTTGAGAAAGTAGTAAAGATTTTTATTGTCAATACAAGATAACACAAATAAATTAATTTTTACAACAATCTTAAGACTCCAGAGCTTCTCTGTGACAAGGTTATCTCATTATGTAAACAGACTATCTAAAATGATCTAGCAAGCGTATGTGACAGTGTGCAAGACCAACAGACCTGTGAACAAGGGCATTTTCTTGCTTCCTTTGCTCAATAAGATGTGTTATTGAACGTATGAGGCTAACTTGGTGGGAAATGGCCTCAAAGTTATCAGAATAAGGTGATACCAAGTTCGGGTGAATCTCAAGACTATAATCCAATTGTAACTATCATCTTCTTTACTCTGACAAAAGCTTAAGCTGGGAGTGGTTGTGTATGCCTTTAATCCCAGCACTGGGAGGCAGGGGCAGGCAGATCTTCTCTGTGAGTACTGAGCAAGTTCCAGCCTAGCCAAGACTACATAGTGAGACCCTGTCTCAAAAAAACAAAACACACACAACTGAAAAAAGATCCAGGAACCAGGGATGAAGCTCAGTGGTGGAGCACTTGCCTAGCATGAGCAAAACCTGGCTTCACCCCAGTAAGGGAAGGGGAGGAAAAGGAATCATTATCAGTACGAGACCAGTAGACTCAATTAGGAGTTCAATTAAGTTTACGTAAAGTGCAAGAGAGGCAGTGGGAGACTAGTGTTTGCTCTGTGACACAGTAGATAAGCAGCCCTCCAACTGCAGGGCCCGGGCAAACTGCCCTGGACAAATGATGAAAAGAACCCGGGGTCCAGCTTAGAGAGCCAGGGTCCTGCCAACTGTGCTCATGAGCTGACCAGTTCTCAGACAAGTCCAGGCCCACCCATAAGGCTAACACATGCACATCAGGCAGCCATGGCTGTCCAAACGAATTGGTGGGCACCTCTATCATGATTTGTAACTGTTCATGTTGATCAAGGAAAAAGAACCAAGAGGACTTAGTTTTGGAAGCACAGCAGCACTATTTACCTAGGAGAGCAAGGGTCAAAGTCCTTCTCTAGGAAAATTATTAAAAGCAAGAGGTCCCCACTCAGCACCACTGACATTTTCTACCAACCTGAAAGCAATGCAAAATGGTTTCTCACACAAGGACAAGCTGCACAAGGTCACTCAGGCTTCCAATTAACTACATCACTCCTATGTCAGAGCCCAGGGAAAGTTGCAGACCCTGGGCAGAAAGCATTCTAGAAGCCAGTGGGTGTGAGCACATTCAGGTCACGGGGTTTGAGATTATGGGTTCGAGGTGGTGGTTTCTTCCCTTCTACCACTGGGACATCCATCTTAGGCGGCTTGAAGGTTGCTGAGTCTTTACCCCCTCTTGTGGCCTGGGCACGCATTAGCTCCATAGGAGAGGGTTTCGGGGCACCTTTGTAAGCCTGGACAGCAAAACCTACCAAGGAAATACAAACGATTACAGCCCCCCACCCCAACAGTAGCCAGAGCCTCACTGTGCTTTCTGAAGGCACTGCCTTACCAGAGTCAGACCTCTGCAGGGGCCGAGCTCCAAAGAGGGTCCACTTGTCTGATGAGTCCTTGTCATTTCCACTCCCAGGATCCATGGTGTGAGGATTTGAGCCAGGTAGGGCTGTGGAGGAGCCAGAGGGGAACCAGCCTCTGGAACATAGCAGTATATAGATATTTCTGAATGTCCTTTTCCTGTGTCGTAAGAAGTGTCTTCCACAGGCTGGAAGCCAGTACCACCTCAGTACCAGCTTCCCTGAAGGAAGGACTCACCTGGACTTCTGCCTGGGGGAGGAGTGAGGGGTGCTGCTCGGGGTAGACTGCTCCGATGCAGGAGGCTTCTCTTCTCTGGTTGTCTCTCCACTCTGCAGCTTTAGTTTCTGCTCATGGGTGACAAGAGACTTTGAGAGGACAGCACAGAGCAATGCAGTCTGGCACAAGCACTCTGATGCACATCCCAACCAGGCGGGAATGGGCTTGTTTCTCTCATACCGGATGGACTCCGTGATTATAGAGCTGTGCTCCTACAGCACCTCACACTCTTGTGATACAAGCTATGCACAACAACTCATGTGTCTGAAAAAGTTATTTAGTGGAAGAGGCACCAAGTTACAAACCCCTTAGCCCTGCCTTCAGTTCTGCTCGACATTCAGCACAACCCCTGCCATGCTCAGGCTTTCAAAGCTAAGACTCGGGCTTGCTGTCTGCCCTCCTCGAATGTTTCCTCTAAGAAATGTACCTCCTTCTCCCGCCTCTCCCATAACCAACCACCTCCACAGCATTGTTAAAACACTGCCAACATGCTGGCAGTCTAGCGGGGAGAGTCAGCGCTCTAGCTCCAGAGTAGTATGTCTGTCCTCCATAAGGGACATGCCTCTGCTGGATCTAAGCTGACTTTCTCTCTACACATCAATTTGTGTAAGTTGACAATCGTTACAAGATGAAGGGCAAAACAGAGCACCCCCTCAAGAAGTATGTGTCTTGTCTAAGCTCAACACTCATTTCTCACAGCAGTAGCTTCTAAATGTAGCCTGCAGATTCACCTGGAACCCTCATCCATGGTGTCCTGTATCTCCCTCACCGCCACACACACACACACACACACACACACACACACACACACACACACACACACACACAGACAGCACCATCTCCTCCTGCTTGTTGTCTTCTCCCTATGCCCAAAGGAACTTGTCATGGCTACTTGGGTTTTGTTGTTGGTTGATTGGTTTTGATTTTTTCAAGACAGGACTTTGAGAACAGCCTTAACTGCACAGAAAGATGCATCTCAAAAAAGGTAGAGGGTGGGGGCTAGAAAACTGGCTCAACAGTTAAGAGCGCTCGCTCTTCCAGAGGACCCCAGTTTGGTTCCCAGCACCCACACGGTAGGAAGCTCACAACCATCTGAAACCCCAGTTCCCCATCAGATGCCCTCTTTTAGCCTCTGCAGGTACCAGGTTCAAAAGTGGCATTCTGTCATACATGTAGACACACATAAAACAAAAACAAGGGAGAGAGGGAGGGGCTGGAGATTAGCTCCGTGGTAGAACACTTCCCACTACGCTTGAAGCTCTGGGTTCAGTAACTGGCAGCACAAAGGAAAACAACTTTGTTTGTTGATTTGCTTGGTTCTGGTTTTCCAGACATGGTTTCTCTATGTAACATCCCTGCCTGTCCTGAACCTCATTTTGTGGACCAGACTGGCCTCAAACTCACAGACATCCACCCGCCTCTGCCTCCTGAGTGCTGGGATTAAAGGTGTGTGACACTACATATGGCCACAAAGTACAAATTTTAACCATCATTAAATAAAACCTCACCAAAATAATCTCCGAACCCCCAAGACAGGGTCTCTCAATGTAGTACTGGCTGGCCTGGAACTCACTATGCAGACCAGGCTGGCCTCAAACCCACAAAGATCTGCCTGTCTCTTGATGGGAGATGTCATTCTGTATATGTTTTTCATACTGGTTAATGAATAAAGCACTGTTGGCCAATAGGAAAGGAAGATAGGAGGGACTAGGAGACAAGGAGGAAATAGGAAGTAGTAAGGAGGAGTCAAGATGGAGAATCTGGAGAAAGCAGTATGCCGCCGGCTCCCCGGTAAGAGAAATATACATAGATCAGCAGAAATGGGTTAATACTTAAGACAGAGCTAGCCGATAAGAAACAAGTAACCGGGCCAACAGCATTGTATCAAATACAGAGTCTCTGTGTGTTAATTGGGGCTGGCACAGCAGTGGGACAAGACCAGCGGCGGGAGAAAAAACCGTACTCCTTACAGCCTCTGCCTCCCAAATGCTGGAATTAAAGATGTACGCCACCAAACACAGCTCCTGAACTTAATTTCTTTAAAGATATGAAGCGCTTCACGAATTTTTGTGTCACCCTTACACAGGGGCCACGCCCATCTTCTCTGTGTCGTTCCAATTGTAGCATATGTGCTGCCAAAGCAGGCCCCTGAGTTTAATTTTCAAAAGTTAAGTATAAGCTGGGCATAGCAGTGCACACCCATCACCCCAACACATGGGAGCCAGGAGCACAAGGGTCACAAGTTCAGGCTAGCCTGAGTGCTCTGTTTGAAATGGTCTGAGCATGTAGCCCTGGCTAGCCTGGAAACCCCCATGCTCTAATACACACTGTGATTAAAAGAATGTGCTAGCCTGGGTTTATATACAAAGACCCTTCCTCTGCGTAAACAGAGAATGATGTTACCCAGCTGAACTGTGGGATCCCCCTCTTACTCCTCGTAGCCAAGCATGCTGGCATATAAAAATTCACAAAGCAGAGCTCTCATACACATCACACATAAACAATAGCCAACCATGCTGGCATATAAAAATTCACAAAGCAGAGCTCTCATACATATCACACATAAACAATAGCCAACCATGCTGGCATATAAAAATTCACAAAGCAGACCTCTCATACACATCACACATAAACAATAGCCAAGCATGCTGGCATATAAAAATTCACAAAGCAGAGCTCTCATACACATCACACATAAACAAAACGTGCTCTCACTTTATATACAAGCAAGCAAAGTGTCTGCAGCTAAGACCTTCAGGCCTTCATCTAGGAATGCCACTTTAGCAGGACAGTCCTGGTCCCTTTGCCCATTATCTTCTTGTAACTCTTCACAGCTGTCAGACACCTAAGCTGTAAACGTCTAAACTACAGCCATAATTGAAGCCATGAATGATTCTGGTTGCTTACATGGAGTGCTTCTGCCACGCGGAGGTACTTGGTCTCCTCGGTGGTGAGGCCCTTGTGGGGTGTGTAGCCAGCATCTCTTAGTCCTGCCTGTTGCTCAAAACGCTGGATGCTCTCCTGGGTCTGTTCTGAAAAGAGAGAACAGTCATGCTCTAATCAGTCAAAAACCAGCCAGGACAAGGAAGTGCCTGCTGTTCTTCCCCGAAGCCAGAGGCCACACCGACTCATGGAGAGCAAGGGTGCCTCAGATGGGCACGGGCATGGCGACTGGACACACAGGTTCCCTCAGAAGCACCTCCCTCACAGCACACTAGAAGTCCCTGCCCTACAGGGACGATGGATGCCTCACCTCCTCTCACAGCAACAGCAAACGGAAGGCACCTGGCATCCAGACACAGGAAATTCCCTAAGAGACTTCCCACTTGCACACAAGCAGGTCACGTTCCTGCCCGCTGGCACCAAGGACCAGTCACCACACAGCCACCGGCCCTGAACTAGCCCAGTCACCTGCCCTGAACTAACCCAGTCACCACACAGCCACCGGCCCTGAACTAGCCCAGGCCTATAGACGCCACTTTTCTTAGGTATAATGTGCCTGTTGCTGTTCCTGGCCTAGCTAATGTTCTTTCAACTTAGTTTAGTATTTCACAAGTCACTATGGAATGAACGAGAGATAATTTTTTTTCTTAAACTACAAACTTGGCACACTACACACATCATGGTAGTGTGAACAGTTCCCACACCAGGTAGACTTTGGGATCTAGACAGTCCACGTCCGTTTTCATGTTACGTGTGTGTTGCCTGCATGTATACTGTACACCACATGCACGCCTGATGCCCTCAGAAGCCACACAGCTGTGTTCTTTAACGACATAATTGTCAAGCTACAGAATAAAAGCAGTAGCTGCTGCTTCCAACGATGTAGTCACAGAGAAACAGTGGGTCTGGACTGTGGCTTTCTCAGTCAACTTTCCAGAAGCGCCATGACAAACTAATGCCCTCCTGGAGGAGAAAGTAAAGAGCTTGACAGAAAAAGAGCCGACCAAGAAGAACGTCTGGCACCTCAGCCCTGGGATGGTATTACTGCTGACATGCAGAGTGCATACTGAATAATTAACTTCCCGCACCAACTAGAATGGCCTTGAGAAGGAAGAAGCTAGGGGGCCGTGGTAGAAGTTTAAAAAGAGCTGGAGAGATGGCTCAGTGGTTAAAAGCACTTCCTCCTCTTCCAGAGGACCCAAGTTCAGATCTCAGCATCCACACTGGATGGCTCACAACTGTCTGTAACTCTAGCTCCAAGGGATCTGATGTCACCTTCTGGCCTCCTCACCACCTCCAAATACTCCCCAGCAAACATAGTGTATACATAATTTAAAAAAATTTTAAAAAGCTCTCATATCAAGCCTCATTAGACCATCAATGACACATTTTAAAAACTAAAGAAACTGAAGCACCAAACTTGGTCATCGTCTTGGTGGATCAACATGTACATGGCCTTGGACAGCACTACGCAAAATTTGTGAAAATATATATAAATTATTTATAAATGCATATGTAAATTTTTTAAAGTAGCTGGGGATGGTAGTGCATGAGCAATACCAGCCCTCTGAACACTAAGGCAGGAGGAAGGACTGCTTTGAGTTTGAAGCTAATGAGCACACAGCAAGACCCTGTCTCCAAACAAACCAAACGTGTTAATAGTGCAAGGCCAGAGGGCTGCCCACCAGGGCCATCTTCTCTAGCAGCACACCTCGGCCAGTAACGGCGGCAGACCCAAAGTTCCTGCTAATGAACTGTTCAACCCTAACATCAACCTGCCAGCTAGAGCCCCTATTTCAGAAAATGGGGTGCCATATCTAATATTAAGTAACTTGCCCAACATCACCACACTTGTCAATACAGGAAAATGACAGACTGTATCAAGCAACAGCAGGACTATATCTAAGCCAATAAGATCCTTAACAGGCAGCAAATCGACCTCCTTGATGAGATTCAGCAGCCAGTCGAACGTGGGGCCCCACAAAAGCAGATCTGACAACCGAGCAGCCGAGGCTCAAGCTCTCCCTCACTGGCTTTACTCTGCTGAGACTGAAGGGTGCTTACTTGTGATCAGGGAATTCATGATGACATGGGTAGCTTTAGCCTTCACCACAGGGGCCTTGTCTGAACTGTCAGTAGCTGTCGCTGGCGTCACAGCAAGGGAAGAGACACTGGTCGGTCCTTCCTCTGTCTGTCCAAGAGAGGTAAGGAAGCACGTGAGCAGGGCAGGGAGCTGCACACCTACACTTACCTCTTTAGACAAGAGTTACAAGAATCTGAGACAGACAGTGAAGAAATACTAGAAAGGGACAGTGGTAAGATCCACTAGCCCATGGTGACAACAGGAAAGTACTTTATGGGAAGAGCCTGGAATCACCAAAGGAAAGGCAGGGTTTGGAGCCCTGAGGCCTAACTTTCGACCTGTCTGCCTGTAAGACTACAGATGCAAAACTGGGCTTGGTGGCACACACGTGTAATCCCAGTGCTAGAGAGGCTGAGGCAGGGGTGTCAGTGTGACTCAATTCTAGTCTGGGCTACCAGTGAATTCGAGGCAAGGATGGACTACCTACCAAAATCCTGTCTCCAGAAGTGAGGAAAAACTAATGAGGGACAGAGGAAAGAAAGGACAAACAGGGAGAACAGAGATAAAATGGAAGAGACACCTCTTACAAAGCACTGACCATGTGCCACGCACTGAGCCTTATTCAGCCTGAGCAGAACATTCCCTGAAGCCTTTCGCACGCTGCCATGACACAGGAGGAGATAAAACATCCCACAATGTAAAACCTCATTTTGTACATAACAGGCTATGAGGAGAAGGATGTATACAACATAGGTAATTTCATATTTAGGTTTGGGTCCTATACCCCACTAGCTCATTGTGTTTATACAAATATTCCAATGATTCTCTGGCTCGATAACAGAGAAGCTACAAAGCCGAGCAGGACTCATCAGGACTCAGGTATTGAGGGCTTCTGGAGTCTGGCTCTCTAGTTGGGGAAGTAGACTCTCAGGCAGATGACACTCTGTTCACATTTTGAACTTTTAAAAAGTACAAAAGATATGCAAAGGGAACAATTGCACCCTATCTTGCGGGGACAGAGGATCACTGAAGGCTTCTGGAGCAGGAGAACAAAGGGGGTGGGTTTGCCGGGAGCTGTCAGCAGGGTAAGGTACCTTGTCAAGATGCTGATACTTGCGCTCTGGGATCACTGGCTTCCAGGGGATGCTGCCCATGTCCGATGGGGGAGGAGTCATGGGTGCAGGGTCCTCCAGGGCATCATCATAGCTGAATGCCCGGCGGCACATCCCGATGGGCAGGGACATCTTGTCTAGAGGCCCACTGGGCGTAAGAGCTAAGAACAGAGACACCTGTCAATATGGGACATTAACTGAACATACTAGTGGCTTTAAGTTAGTCTGTAGACAAGAAAGCTGTGAAACTTACTTAGGAACAGTTTTTCTGTGACACCTAATCCACTCAAGGGAGGGTAGTTGCAGTGTAATTGCCTTCTTGAGTCTCCACTATGCCCACTGAGCCACACTACCCTGTTTCATCCCTCCTCTTTAAGACAGGCCCTGGGTATGTAGCCCTGCCTGGCTGGCACTCACTATGTACCTTACACAGCTGGACTCAAATTCTGTCAGTCCTCCTGCCTCAGCTCTTCCCAAGTGCTGGGACTACAGCACACACCACCCCAGCCCCTAATCCACATTATAGACTAAAGAACCTTAAGCTCAATTGAAATTTACCTAGGCAAAGTCTCAACTTCAAAAAACAAATTCCAGTCAAAACTCAAACCTATCTCATTTCAAAACTCCATACACTAAACTGTCAGTCATGCAAGACTAAGGTGGACATAAAGAGACGGAGGGAATCGTCTCTCTTCCCCCCCCCCACTCTAGCTGGTCACTGTCTCATTTGATGAAGAACTAAACCCTAGTGATGAACGCATTTGCCTCAGTTCATAGAGCAAACGTGTGCTGAGCTCTGAGCAAGCCTATGAGAAGCCCTACGCCTGTGTCTCCCCACAGAGAAACTACAAGCAGCAGAGCACACCTCTAACTCCTAGTGTTGTGAGGACTAAACGCATCCATCAGACAGTACTGACAGCCTCTCTTCAACACTGCCAGCTCAATCCTCCACTCCTGTCCACGGAAGTGACTGCCCAGCTGTGACGCAAGCACCACGCCCCAAGGG